CCATGGTGAAAGGCAAAATTTTTCCACATTGCTGGTCTCATTCAGGCTGGAAATTAATTTATTGAACACCAAGAACCACTTCTTTTCCCCTAAGGTCCAAAAAAATGTTTTTTCTCGCTTTTCTTTAAGCAATGGGGCACACAGTTTTTTAAGAAGGAAAAGCAAGAGAAATTTTTGGCAAAAAGTTTCTTTGAAGGATCAAAGAAAACCATTTTTATTGTCTGGGTGCTAAGAAAAAACAAAAACAATTAAGGGAAATGGACAAATGGAGTTTCCTAGGAGGTTCTGGACAGAGTACACGGAGCACATGGCTTTCACACTCCAGAAAAGTAGCTCCAGTATGGGTAAAAAATAAACGCAACTCAGCAAGCCTGGTTAGCTTCACACACAACCAGTTTTATTATAAAAGCTACTTCACTGATTATACATAGCATTGGGCCAAAACATTTCCTCTGACAGGTTCCCTTCTCTGATATTGATGTATTCGGTCAATTAAGGGCCCAATATATCCAACTTTCGAAAAACAAATGCCGGACCAGATGTGCTGATTGAGGTCAGAGCAAGCAAACAGTGGCTTAACAAGAGCAGGGCTAGGAAACAAGTGCTGCGCTTGGAAACTAGCAGACTAGTGGGGCAGTGGAGAAGGGAGCCTTGTTCAATTGAGTATTCAGCTCATGGGCTGTTCTTGAGGAGCTGGGAGGTTGGCCTGTGGTGGATGGTGGAGGGGGGGTGGAAGACAGGAGTGGAGGGGGCGCTGAAATAAACATTTTGAACTGACCCAGGTTGACTCCAGCCTTGTTTGTTCTTTCGACTGGTGAGGTCCGAGCCTCGGCAGTTTCGAGTTTATTTATGTAGCTGGGGCTGCTGCGGCCCTGCCATTCACCTCCAATAATGCTTCATAGAGTGCTCTTTCTCTCCAATCAGGCCCTGGACGACTGTGTATTTTCTAATGAATTATTGCATTTACCTAGCATTTTCCCTCCCCTTGTTTAGATAACTGCTCCACAACGAACAACGGCCCCACACGCCTCCCCTTTGGAGAAGCCAAGCCATTTTCAATAGGGAGGTACCTACTGTTTAGCATGTGCACAAGGTCATTTATGCACAACTCTGGACGTTCTCTCCCCACTGCTGCACAGCAGCTTTATAAACCTCAACCAGGCCCGCTACCCAGAACACCCTGCTTTCCTTTTTTTCGCAATGTTTGCACAGCTTGCCTGTGTTGCCCACGTCTGTCAAGTGCACGAAAACTGTGTCAAGACGGATGAGACAAATTAAGCCAGGGGCGCGCACGAGTGCATAAACATCTCTTTCTGTTTAAAGAGAACATGTCTTTCTGTTTTGCTGTTCTTTTAGCCCACCACGCATTTTTGTAGCATTTCGGTAATTACCGTTTAATTCTCTGCAACCTTTCCGAGAAGTTTCCGTTACTCAAGCAATCACGTGGCAACAAACTCTGCTCTTGGGGGTATTTCACAAAGTGTGTTTTCTCAGTTAGCCAGATCATTTTAGACAAATGTCAAGCCTGCATAATAGAAGAAATTGAACTTAAGTAATCTGGCTAACTGAAAATTCCTACTGTGCATGAAATAACCCCCACTCCCCGGTTTTCTCGGCCCACCACGATGAGGCGGCTTGTCAATAACAAATAGCTGTTTATCCTTCCTTCCAAGAGCGAAACAACCCCACATTCTCTCACAAGTAGCTATATGATTAAAACAAGATGGCAGCCACATGGGAGCGAGCCTCCAGATGAAATGACCCTCCAAGCTCCTTCTCCTGACAAATTCTCCGGAATTCCACACTTCTTCACTCAAGGTGCAAAGACACCCAAGTGTAGGAAATTTAAAGGTAGAGCTGATAAAACGCTTCTCCACTCCCCTGCCCCCAACCCTTCACCCCACACTCTGTTTTATTACCCCCTCCCCTTGCTTTTTCTTCCGCCTGACAATGGGGACTAGCTCACACTTTCCCAAGCTTCCAGCAATGACCTCAGCACTCTTTAACCGAGGCGGGTTATTTTTGAGCTTGGTTTCTGTGAAATTCAAATGCAGCTTTAAACACCAAAACAGATATCTGGCAAGGCAGATGGTAATAATATGAGTGAAAAAGACACACTTGCAAAAGACAAGGAAGGGAAAACAAAAAAAAAAAGAAAACAAGGTGCTAGAAAACATTTGGGTGTCCCCAGGTAAAAGAGAAATCCAATTTAAATAAATACTTTTGTTACTTTTTAACCATTGTTCCCTTACCTAGATGTACTCATTCAGCCATGACATGTTTTGTGCCTAAAGTTTGCTTCAATAGTTTTGCACCGGAGCTATGAGGCTAATGGAAGCTTATGTACATCAATTAGCATCATGTAAACTACATACACAAATCATCAAACACTTGCCTTAAACTGTGTCAAGTTGGTAAGTAATCACTCATTTTTACCTCAAAACAAAAAGCACCAGACATGTCTTGAATGACCAACTGCATTTAGGGGGAAGAGGGAAATTATGAAAATTTTTTATTTTGGTAGATTTTTCTAAATTTAACTACTTTTACACTTGTGTCTAATGTTTATCTGTACTGAATCAGAAATTTCAGAAGAGTCTGGCTCTTCTCACCACTACTGTTCCTTATATAATACACACGGCAAAGACAAGAGTAAGCTAAGCTCATAACCTGCACATGAGAGGGAGGATGGATTCATTCAGAGTGGCGAAAGACAAAGCACAGTGCACTCCTAGACTCCCTAGCATTCTGCAGCCACTATTTGCACGTCATTCGAAGGCAGGAAGCAATCACAGATGCCCGGGTGGTCTTGGAAGACACGGATACTAGATGGCCGGAGTGACATTTGGGTGGGGGGCAGGGCTTGGGTTTAGAGAGTAAAGGAGGGGGCAGTTATGGCCTTAGGGTATGTGACGGGGGGCAGATGCTACCAAATGCACAGCTGGCCCAGCGTGAGCCTTCTTTACCTTTACTTTCCCTTACACAGAGAGGACTCTCACACAGCCTGTTCAATCATTCAACCAGCCCTTGTGTAAAATATACACACACACACACACACACACACACACACATACATATATATACGTATATATACACACAGCAATATATAGCAGTATTATATGGTATTATGCTCAAATCGTGCCGCCATACTATGCTTATGTTCATTTATTGCACACATCTAGTGCAGGCTCATTTCTTCCTATACATGTTCAAGACTAAACATTCATGAAACAATCACTTCAGAATCCTGATATCACCAGATCCATTAAAAATCTCTTTCCTTTATTTGTATAACTTGTGTGTGTGTGTGTGTGTGTGTGTGTGTGTGTGTGTGTGTGTGTGTGTGTGAGAACTAACCTCTCCTTGTTACCAAACCACTTACTCCCCATTCAGTACTGAGCAGCTTTGTCAATGGGCTATTGGGGGAAACAACGCAAGCAGAAACTTTAGTAACATGGGCCCTGCCTCTTAAAGGCATAGCACCCCTTTTTCAGCAAGGCTGCCTCTCACTCAGAGGGACCCATGCTTTAGCTCTGCTTTACATTAACACACAAATTCTGTGACAGCGTCTGACAACTCCCTTTATGTAGCCCACCACTGATTTGCTCCACCAACAAGTAAGGCATACATGATGAAAAAAGCAGCTTTCAAATACATTAACCCTATAACTCTCAGCGTATGTATTACTTTCATAGTAGTTACTAGTTAAGTCTTAAAATGAATAAATGCATAATAAGCCTAATGTTTAAGGGGTTAAAGAGGAAATCTTGAATAAATCTGTGCTTTAATTACAATCCATAACAACTTCCCCTGAACTCAAGTTTCCCTTTCACAGAAGTTACTAAAACCTGATTTATCACACACTTAATTCAACTACGGTGACTCCCTGTGCAAGTGTGTGCGTATATGTTCGTATGTGTGTAACAGGTGGGTAAACTTCAGCTGTATTCAGTTTTTTCCCCCTTTGCTGGAGGAAAGGGGGTGCCTTTATTGTTGAATGGAATCCAAGAATAGTTAAGGACCACACAGAGCGCAGAAGAGGAGGGTGTGTGTGTGGTGAGGGGGGGGGACTGAGGGGGAGGGGTCAGTGCCTCCAAGATGGCTAACGATTCACACACACATACACATACAGCCCATCTGTGCAGGGGATCAGCGGCATGGCTAAAGCCTAGGGGGGCTTAAAAGGAATTTGGCAGTGTGAAAACCAAATAAAGATGCCCCAAAAACGCGCAGATAAGCGAGGCGTGCAGAAAGGACGTCAAATGGGTGGGTTGGGGTGGGAAGGTTAAAACAGTGCAAAGGCAGCCACGGCAAACAATACTGCCTGATGGGGAGAGAACAAGAGAAGGCTTGCATGCGTAGGAAAAAAAAGAACACTACTTGTGCATGACAGGAGAAGATATGGAATTCCTGAGGCCACGGTCTATGTTCAAAGACCTTGTGTAGCAACTGTGCACCTAATAACTGCATGGCTAGCACTAAATTCTTAAGTTTCAGTAATTCTTGCTGTCTGTCAGCTTGTTTGGGGAGTAATAAATGGAGCAAGCATCTCCAGAAATAGGCCGCAAAGCAGAAGGGCTGGTGGGTGAGGTCAAATGGTGCCTCTTCTAGACCCCCCTCAACCTGATGTCACAAGCTAATTGTCCTTCTTTCTTAATAAATATAGGATGGCCTGGACATATGGTTGTAGGAAAAATCTTTAGTTGGTACAGACCCTTATTATTACTACGAGGATGTTCTTTAAACTTTAAAAAGGTTCTTCAGGGCACCAAAAATGGTTCCCTATTCGGCACCTTTATTTTAAAGAATGTGGAGCACCCCTTCCCCGTGTTGTGCTCTAACACAACCGATTCAGCTAATTAACAAGCCTTTCCTAAACTTGTTCCTTCAACTTCCATAATGTAGCACATAAAACACGTTTGTTTTTACCATAGATATAACCCCCCAGTTTCCCAAGGCAAAAACTCAAACCTCCTTTAAGGACTGAACCATGAACTTACCTTCTACCCATAGCTGCTCAATATCCGTCTCGATAGCTGCCACTCGCAGTCCGACTGATAAGGCTCCAAACACGAGCAGCCCAATGAAAAGAACTTTTCCACAGTGTCGCTGGATGTGGCAACCCAGAGTAAAGAGGAGAGCCTGGAACCTGGCCCGGATCCACAGCGGCGCTCTCTGCCCTGCAGCCTTCCCCTGAACATAACAGAGTAACACTTAGTAAACTTGTGCATGGATGCTGTTTCGGATCAGCACTGGCGCTGGCCAATGCCTGGACCCAAGGACTGTTTTGACAACGTAGGCATCAACACTGGTTTCTTTTGAGGGAAACTCAGCAGATTCCAATTCAGAACAATCAGTGACAGACCGCACAGCTGTTTGTCAAGCATAATTGAAATCACTGTTATTGCTGTTACTTGCTTCACTTTAATAGCTTGAAAAGCTCTTTTAAAGGGAACTTAGAGGAACTCTACAAGGGCTCACATGTGGGTCCACATTTCAATTCTTCAATGTCATACTCACATAATTTACAAGTTAGTTCTGTAGTAGTTACCAAATAATGTACAGTTGAATAGTAACAATAACAGATAGTGTGATTATTAATAAGCCTGCAGTTATAAGAGTTAAAACAGAACATGTTTTACTTATCGTCTAAAAACTGTCTGTATCAGGAGTTCTAAGAAAACCATTAAAATAAGCTAGACAGTTCCAACAGCGTACTGTGGCAGGGAGCTAACATTTACATGAAAAGTTTCCCAATTCTGATTTCACTTTTGGAACAGTGAACGCCACAAGTGACTGCATTACGTCCCTGTAGTGTTCAGAAATCTTTGCTAAAGACATTTACAGATTATTTTACGAACGATTCAGTCCAAACTCAAGAAGTCTATCTTCTCATTAATCCCCACTGACCTGGGCAATAGGCTGAAAACCTTCCAAGAGTTGGACATTATTACATAACTTGCTAACTGGAATGCTGACTCTGAACTGGCAGGCTGAACTGAGCAGCATGGTTGATGGTGCCACGGCACATACTGAAGCCTCTTTTCTGCCCATCTCACAGCACTGGAGCTTCTCCACTGGGACAGCCACCAGCGCCCGCCTCGCTATTTGGCTCGGAGGAAAAAGGAAATGTTGATTTTGAAACTATCCAGTTTCACGAGCCAAACAATTCAGACGTCACAGCTTGATGTGGACCACACACGCGCACAGCAGTAGTTTACACGGCAGAAACCTTCATTAGGGCGCTGCGTTGCTTAAAAGATTCATTCAGGAATTTTGACAAGCTTCTTAAATGGGCTGACCACAACCCAAAAAAGCCAGCAGTAGGTGCACACTGCTCTCAGAATTGCTTCTTTTTCTTAATATATCATTTCTATCTCTTCTATTATAAGGTACCACTGCTGTAGTCACAAATTAACCAAGTTTCTCTTGGGTAAACAGAGAACTGGGTGAATACACTGAACACTTAAACATGACAAAATCTCTGTTTCATACTTAAAAACACGACAAAACCATTTTCTCTGTAAACATGGAAGAAGGTTCTTGTGAAAGCTCCAGATGATAACTGCAAAAATGTTATTAGAACTAATTACAACTAATATTTACATTACAAGGATAAGCTTTACATCTGGCAGTAAATAATTTGATGGCTTAAACTGAATGCTCTGACAACCACAAACCTACTGTAACTAGCTGTTTAGATTAATCTTAGTAGTCCTGGGTCACATAGGATCAAGGTGTTAAAAAGAGTCACGTACTAGAAGACACTACACTCTTGTCAATTCCAGTTATATGGTCATATGGGACCAGAATGACCGATCTATTCCTTTACTCAATTTCCCACTAAACTCTTGTTTAGTTTTAGCTCATGCTTGCTAGCATATTCTTTCTAAATGAGCAAAAGGAAAGACAGAAAATAGACTAATTAAATGGCAAACACAATTACTAGTGGGGAATGGAATAAAAGAGTAGATTTGCCATTCAGGTTCCAAATTACTTTATAACATTATGTCCCATATGACCAAAAAACATTAACTTCTACATTTTATACAGTAACATGGGACCTGAATGACAAATCTATCCCTTTATTCAATTTCCCACAAAACTCTTGTTCCAATTTTAGCTGATGTTTGCAAGTGTATTCTTTCGAAATTAGCAACAGAAAACACCGTTAACAGGCTAATTAAATTGCAAAAGCAATTATGAGTGGGAAATTGAAAAAAGGAAAAGACTTTGCCTCAGGTCCCATCTTACCACATCATAACACAGTCCCACAGACTAATGTCGGATGCCCCATAACATCTGATCATCTCAGTCAGTGGACTCTTTTACACTGTCAAACAAACCCCAGCATTTTTGGTGGAACAGTCCTTACTCAGAACAAAACCGCATACACATCTGCCTCGCAATGACAAAATGAATGGAGACTGTTCTCCTGCACGGACCACACACAAACACACCCACTACTAGTGTTTTTCACATCGATAACAGGCGAAAAAAAACATTTTCCTAGAACAGATAGTCTACTACCCTCACTTTTTCCTCGAATCAGACTGTGTAGTGGAAAAGCCACAACTCCTCTCACTCTCCTCACCTAAACGCTACTGGACTCACTCACGCAACTTCAACACTGAGTTTGAGCGAGTAGAGTAAAAGACACTGAAGTCCAAGAGAGCGCAAAAAACCGCTAGCAAAGAAGCTGGAAGTCACCTCAACTTCTCCTCAGCCAGCGTAATTAAAAAACACGCAAAGAAAGCGCTAGCATTCCCGCTAGTATTCCGGTCAGGAAGGTTTGTTTTTGTCACCTTTGAAATGTGCTTGAGCGCGAAGGCGGCGTGGCAGTAAGTGTTGCTGCGGGGCTGACGGGTGCTGTTAGGCGGAGGAGTGCGCTCATAGCCCGGGGGAGAGTCTCTGGGCTCCGAGGCCATAGTCCACTCGAGAAGACGAAGCGGCTAGCCAAGAAGTCCGGGCTGAGGATGACCACCGTGGTGACCACCACGACGAGCTGAAACGACGCGTTTTAATCTTCTTCTTCCCTCGAGCCGAAGTCCAGCGGCACCATCCCAACATCATGCGCCTCAATCCGTGCACGTCCGTCGCTCTTCATTCGTCCCTGAATCTCTCTATATGTGTAAGTGTGTGTGTGTGTGTGTGTGTGTGTGTGTTTTGTTTTAAAGCAGGAGTGGAGCTCCCTTCGCCGTGCAGGGACCGTTTGCGGCGCGCTGCCTCTCTGCTGAGCCTGAAAAAGGGGGCCAGAGAGGAGCCTCTCATTGGCCGAGGAGGGGGGAGAGAGAGAAAAAGAGGCAAATTACTTCGCGAGCGGCTCCTATTATTAGCTGCTAAGCAACGGCTCGCCGAGGTAGAGAGAGAGAGAGAGAGAGAAGGGGAGACCACCCAGGCAGTGGAGAGAAGGAGGAGGAGGTGGAGGGACGGAGAGGGGGAGAGAGGGAGGGGAAGTTTTTTAGGAGAGGAGCTGCTCTCAGCTCTCAATCGCCTCAGTTCGTAAAGAGCTGTGGGTTCCCATTTATTAAGCCTCTGAGCGGGAGAGAGCTGGACAAGGATCAGTTTTTGCCTTTGCTACACTTCTCACTGAGCAGCGCTTATTGGCTGAGGGAACTGATCCTGGATCAGCACTTTAATTCACTTTCGGGTCGATTTTTTAAGTTTATGAGAGAATGAGTGCTGGTCTGGGATCAGTTTTTGCCTCCCTGTCTTTCTTACATGTTATTGTTTATGGTCTACGGGAGCTGATTCTAGATCACTCTTAATTAATAGTTACTTTTGGGTCGATTTTGGGGGGATTTCATTAGTTTATGAGAGCATGAGTGCTGGTCTGGGATCCGTTTTGGATCACTTCTCACAACGTTTATGGAATGATCCTAGACCAGCAGTCCAAATTATTCAATTAATGATTATTTAAGTTATACAGATTACCACATTTCTGAGTGTTGGAGTGGGAACAGTGTTTTTGCTTCTTTGCTAGCTATCACTCCATTTTACATTACATTATTACAGCTGTCCTTCTCAATTATATTCATTTATAAACTGTGGGAACTGATCCTACATCAGAACGTATTCAAATATATGTTTATACAATATAAATATTATATTTCAATATACTGTATTTAAATCTGTTATATTTAAACATACGATTATATTTATATAATGTTAAATGTATATCATATCATATTTATATATTTGTCTATTATATTTATATAGTTTCTGAGTGGTTGGTCTCCACTTTTAATCAAGCTTCTGATTGAGAAAGTGCTTGTCTGAGGTCAGTTTTGCATTGCAGTCCTTCTCACTTGTTATTAAATTGGACTGAGATCTGATCCTAGATCACTTTTTAATCTGATATTTAAGTCATATTTATTGATGGATTTATTGAGTATTTATTATCTCAGTTTTTGCTACTTAAAGATCATACTATAGTAATGACTAAAGAAGTTAACCTTAGATCAGCACTCTTAATCAGAAAGTTTTATTGAGTGTCTGATAGCAAGAGTACTAGTTTGTGCTTTTACTTTTGTTGTCCTTCTCAGACATACAATGATTTATAGCCTGTGAAAGCTGATCCTAGATCAGCACCGTTGTATTTATCCAGCTTCTAAGTGCTGGAGCGAGATCTACTTTTGTTTTGTTATAATTCTCCTTTAGAATCATATATTAACTGTAGGAACTGATCCTGGATCACAACTTTTAATCACAAGAAATTTGGCCAAGCTTCTGGGAAGAAGAGAGCTGGTCTGAAGTCAGTTTTATGCCTTTGCTATGCTTTTCACCTAAAGTCTAAAGATAAGCATACATGTCATCTGTTGATAAAAAAACACAGAATTATATGTCATATGTCATAATGAGATCTGCCTATTTGTAAAAGTAATTTGCAAAAGTAATTTGCAAAAGTAATGACTACCAAGAATGTCAACTAAAGGGAAAGTGCGCTATGCTACATGTCCAAAAGTATCCAGACACCTCTTCTAATAAGTGAATTCAGCTACATTAAAGTGTACCTATTGCTGTTATGGGCATTCAGTTGCGCACATACAGCCTGTATAATTTTCAGTGTTTGTTGACAATAGAATGGGACACTGAAGCAGCCACACATGAGCCTAAGGTCACCATGCCCAAGTACAAGGCCCCCAGCAATGGGCTGCAAAGCTGTGGATCTGTGTTCTCTGGAGTGATGGAGCACCATTCAATGTGATCCAGAACTAATGATTCAACATCAGTAACTTACCATACTTAGACTCACGTGAATGCAATGAATGCAATCAAATCCTCACAGTAATGTTCTAACATTTAACGTAAAGCCCTCCCAGAAGAGTAGAGGCTGTTACTGCAGCAAAAGGGAGATTAACTTCTTATTAATACATGATTTCAGAAGAAATGTGGGATGAGCAGATGCCTTTGGACATTTAATGTATATTTCTAAAATAGATATTCTTTAACTTTCAGTGTTTTTGGACCATACTTTTTTCCTTTCTTCTAAAACAGTTCTTTAAGGTAAGGTATTCTTGGGTTCTTGATATTCTGTAGTGAATTAACCACTAAATAACAAAACACAAAAACAAACAAAAAAAAAAACAAGCAAAAAATAAATACACAAAATTTCTTAGATTTCTTTTCAAACTCAATAATCATAGAAAAGCATAAAATGTTAATTAAAAAAGGCTTTCAGCACTACACATGATGACAAGTACAGCTAAAACATTACACCTGGGGCCAGGTTTAAAATGTATAAACAGATGCTCTAATGCATCTTAGAGTAATGATTGTCTTTTCCTAATAGTATATAGCAGTTAGTTGTTATAGTTGTGGGAACAATAACTATCTCTGCAGTTTTACTGTAATGTGTCATTTGTAATGGAAAGGTAAATTATACGGTTCCCTATTTGGATCACTCTATAGAAACGCTTACTGTAGAGTAATCTCAGTGTTCCTTGGCAGTGAATAGAAATTATAATGAATAACTACGAATTAAGTAAAAGCTCTAGGTCTGTTACAGTTGGTGAGCCACCCATGTCTTTCACTTGTGCTGTAAGCAGGCATGGCTGAGGAGCCAAAGGGGGAACCATCACAGAGCACAGTGATGATGTACTGTTTGTCATGAACCCAGCACTGAGGTCAGGAATTAATTTTTGCATGATTTTTTCTTTTTTGAATTTCCAAATGTGCCCAATGAAGGTAAAACCTCTCTGTTACACTTTACTAGAAAACTGTTTTCTCACCATGTAAGTTAATGTTTCACATTAGGTGAGTCCATGTTAAGTGGGACATCAGGTAAAGTTCATAAGGTTCATAATGGATGTGGCATCATCACGGTGAGTGTGGCTACATTAAAAAAAACATCCAAAAAGCTCATGGTACCAAGTGTTACTGTCAGGACAAAACCTTATATCTCCATTCTTTGTAGGTCCCCCCCCCTTTAAACATGCCATCTGGCCTTTATCTGGCCATCCATCCATCCATCCATCATCTAAACCGCTTATCCTTCTGGGTCGCGGTGGGGTGCTGGAGCCTATCCCAGCTGTCATTGGGCGGAAGGCAGGATACACCCTGGACAGGTCGCCAATCCATCGCAGGGCAGACAGACAGACATACACAGTCACACACACACACTCACACCTAGGGGCAATTTAGCTTGTCCAATCAGCCTGACTGCATGTTTTTGGACTGTGGGAGGAAACCCACGCAGACATGGGGAGAACAGGCAAACTCCACACAGAAATGACCCTGGTCGCCAGGCCGGGAATCGAACCCAGGCCATTTTTGCTGTGAGGCGACATTGCTACCCACTGCGCCACCATGCTGCCCCTTTATCTGGCCATAATTATTAGAAATAAAATAATTTAACATTAACTTCCTTAAAGGATTTTGTAGATTTGTAAAGTGTTAATGCCATTGTCTGTTCTTTGGCTTTAAAATTGACTAGGTATTGACAGCGACTTAAAACATTACCAACTCGTGAGTAAACTTCTATCAGCTTTTGATAGTGGGCTGTTAGTTTTTTTTTTTTTAAATGTGGAAATATCCGGCTCAAGCTGAAAGCCACCCATAAAAGAGCAAAACCAACCAACATTTTGCAACAAAACGTTCTAATGTCTGCATTTCTCTTTAGTATGTCCAGAAAAAGAACTGGCAAGACAAATAAATTAGGGTGAATGGAGAGACAACACTTTAGACACTCCCAACAGTCAAACACAGGTATGGCACACCAAACAATCGTTACATTTGTTTGTGATTGTTGGTGTTTGTCCAATTTGTGTGCTCTGGCCTTAATAAACAGGGGGTGGGGGCACAAATTCTATTTAAAATGCAGCACTTGGTGGGAAATCCAATTCCAACACACTTCAGAACACAAATGTAGATAGCACTTGTTTAAACAAAACTAATATCACATGAGTTGAGGATGAATACTTTTTATTAATCATTCCGATGTTTGCTAAAATGTATTCCACTTTACCTGACTTGACCATATTGAGCATGCACTCATTTTGCATATAGGTGAATGAAGCCGAAAGGAACTTTCCTCCGGAGTGTGGATGTGGTGGAGGGCAGATGGGAGCAGTGAGTCGGTGCAGTAGGGGGGCCTCTGTAAGCCTAACAAACTGAGGGAGGTCCGGCCCGAGGTCCTGAGGCCTTGAATAAATAAACTGTGGAGATGACCATGCGCTGTCCAGAAATCTGCCATCACTTTATCCCCCCCACCCCTCCCAAAAACATAAACTAAACTCACCCCCCCACCAGGGCAGTTCACGCATCTATCCGTCATGTGAAGGAATATGGCTTTACGTTTCACGAAACGTACAGCCTGTATTTAGCCATTAGCTGTTTTTTTTCCTCTCCCTGACTTATTAGTACAGAATTCTCTAGAAAGTTTGCTCTGAAGAGGCTGATGGGTTGCAGCTGACACAAACAAATACAAGTTGAGCACGACTTGTTTTAATTTGGTTTGATTCATGATTGGTAAGAGCATAAAGTTTCTCACAGACGTTTATGCTGAAGCGCCAATCTTTCAGTCGAGTCTTCCAACTAGCTATTATGCACATCATATTTACTCGTTTTTACCGTCAAACACAGCTTACACGAAACAGAAAATTAGAAGTGTGAGACCACTTACTCTCTCATTTTGGAAACTCTTTTAGGCCGAAAAGAAGATTACAGTGGTGGACAAAGTACACAACTCTTGTACTTGAAAATAGAGATACCCGTTATAAAATATTACTCAAGTTAAAGCAGAAGTCCTTTTTTATATTTCTGCTTTTAAATGTATCTAAGTAGGAAAGTTTTATGTACTACATAGTTCATTCTAGCTATTATAGTGCTCCCTATAACGGCACAGCATATCGTTAAATTTTGCAGACTTGTCAGGGATGCATAGCCATGGTTACAGTTGCTAAGCTAAAAGATTTACTTTCAAGCA